AGCGCCCCGCGCCCCGCCCGGCTCCTCCCCGCTCCCACGCGGCTGACAGCGCCAGCGCCCAATCACCAAGCCTCGCTCAGGGATTTGGCCCATCGACACTGAGTCTCCACCCCATCACGGTTCTTTCCAATCCGCACAAGGGCCCCAACCCTACCACCCTGAGGTTGGCCACCAATCGGTGGCGAGGGCCGGCCTGGAACGATTGCGACTTTCCCGCCCGGCTCCTCCCCGCTCCCACGCGGCTGACAGCGCCAGCGCCCAATCACCAAGCCTCGCTCAGGGATTTGGCCCATCGACACTGAGTCTCCACCCCATCACGGTTCTTTCCAATCCGCACAAGGGCCCCAACCCTACCACCCTGAGGTTGGCCACCAATCGGTGGCGAGGGCCGGCCTGGAACGATTGCGACTTTTGATTGGTTAATTCGTCAAGTCACGTAGGTGTTGCTTTCTTTTTGATCGGTGCGGACGTCCAGAGCGCCCGGCGCTCATTGGAAGAGAAGGCTCGGAGGGGCGGGACGCCGCGAAGAGGCAAGCGGAGAGCTCGCGAGGTGAGGGCGCGGCATCCTTCGTCCGGATTCGGCGGGGTGAGAACCCAGAACCGTTACATACAGGGTCTCGCGAAGTCGCTCACGTTTGCCAGGCTGGGCTCGAACTGGCGACCGTCCTGCCTCAGCCTCCCAGAGGGCTAGGGACCACAAGCGTGCGCCCCACGCGCAGCTTGCTCTGCAGTGGAAACCGATTTGCCTCGTGCCCCGAAGCTCTTCCTCGCCCCTGCCCCGGTGACGTCCGAACCCAGAACCGTTACATACAGGGTCTCGCGAAGTCGCTCACGTTTGCCAGGCTGGGCTCGAACTGGCGACCGTCCTGCCTCAGCCTCCCAGAGGGCTAGGGACCACAAGCGTGCGCCCCACGCGCAGCTTGCTCTGCAGTGGAAACCGATTTGCCTCGTGCCCCGAAGCTCTTCCTCGCCCCTGCCCCGGTGACGTCCTGGTGGCGAAGGGCTTCTGGGTGCCCCTCCCGCTGGCTCCCTCAGGCCCACGTCCCCACACGACGTGCAGCTCCTTTGCAGCCCCGAGTCGCCTGTGACCCTGCGGGCGCCATTGTCAGCAGAGCGAGGCGTGCCCTACACCGAGCACTGGGCACTGCCTGTCCCTTACCCCCACACGCTCGCCCGCCGCTGTGTCCAGCCGGAAGGGGGGCAAGCGCGGGTGTCACTGCCACAGGGCTTGCCTGGCACCAAGGAGCCCCACAGCCCCACTAGCTCTGCCAGGGCGCCACGGGAGTGGGCAGCTCCTGTGGCCCAGGTTCAAGTCCCCCAACAGTCGGCTGTGCCCGGCCACAGGGACTACGTACTGGCAGGTGAGGGAGGCTCCCCTTCTCAGGTGTCCTTGGGGACGCTCCGAAGGACGCTAACCTGAGGACGCCAAAGCCGCTGCAGGTCCATGAGCTGGGACCCTGTGTGTGGTGAGGCGGGAGGGCTTTCTCCTGTCGTTTGCTGCCACGTCTTCTTCGGGTAGCCCGTTTTCTGAGCTGCCTATCACTCCTCTCCTTGGTGGCCCTGACCTTTCCAGAAGCCTGTCGCCCACGAGGACATGGAGCTGGACCAGCTGGACCTGAACCCCAGGATCCTGGCAGCTGTGAGGAGAGGTGTGTGCCCCTCCTCCTGAGAGGCTCTGTACAGAACCCAGCCCTGTGGCCGGTCCCAGGCTGTGCGCTCCGAGGGACACCACGGTGTGGGCAGGGAGAGGCACTGAGACCCGGCTCACTCTTCCCTGTCCTTGTGAGACAGGGTCTCACCGAGTTGCCAGTTGCCCAGGCTGGGATCGAACTTGCGCTCCTCCTGCCACACCTGCTAAGCTTCCTGTGCTCTAGGCTATGTGCTTGGAGAGTGGGCCGCTCCCTCCCTGTGTGTGTGTGGCTGTCTCAGGGCTGTGGTCCGCTGGAGTGCACTCTGGGGTTCATGCTGCCACCTAGTGACAGACCAGACAGGACTTTGCTGTCCTGCTAATCCCTTCTTGGTGTCCTGTTCACGTCTCATGGTCACAGGCTGCTGCAGCTGCAACCACACCTGCAGTGTAGGTATAGAAGGGAACAGGCTTTGCCAGCGTACGCTCCCTTACCAGGACACCACCGTTCTGTGGCTCGGCTGGGTCCCGGCCCCTGGGAGCCTCCCTCTTCTGTCTGTGGGGCTTTTCCTCAGGGTTGTATTTTCTTTTTCCTTTCATGCAGTCTGTGATCTCTCTTCCCCACCTTTGATGCTGTGTCCCAAGGGTGACTGGTTTTAGGGCGGTGTGCATCCTCTATTCATGCAAACCATCATCCCTTTTTTAGTAAGGGTACTGGAGACTGAACAAACACAGGGCCTGAACTGCACTGAACTACAGCCGCAGGTTTTGGTTTTGGTTTTTTTGTTTTTGTTTTTGTACCGGGGATCGAACTCAGGTCCTTGCATTTGCAAGGCAGGCAGCAGAACCACTGAGCTAAATCCCTGGCCCAACTCTTTTTTTATTTTTACTTTTCATTATTTCACTGTGTCACTAAGTCTCCTAGGCTAGGCTCAAACTTAACAATCCTCCTGCCTCAGCCTCCCTAAGTGCTGGGATTTCAGGTGTGTGCTCCCATACCCAGCTCACTGTCCCCTTGGAGAGGCTTCTGGTAGAGCAGGGTGGCAGTCACCTTGTCTTAGCACCTGGGTCCGAGGTGCTATCCCGCCCTCCACCTTGTCCTTCTCAGATTTCCTGGGGTGTGGCAGTTTCCAGGACAGGAGGCCCAGCAACCCGTCACCACCCTGTGGCTCCCCTCCCCATGTCTGGCGTGACCAACCATACTGTGGCCTCTGCTTTCAGCCAGGCTGAAGTCCATGAAGGAGGTCCTGCGCTTCTCGGGACCTGACCTGCAGAGATGCACCGGCCTGTCTAGCTCCGATGTCCGCTGCCTGTTGACAGCAGCTGCCAAGCACCTTCGGGGCCACTGCACACTCACAGGTGGGACTGAGCAGCCTTGGGGCCTGGGGCTGCAGAGCTACCGGGTCCCTGTGCTCTGGGACCCCTTGTGCCAGGCCAGATGTAGCCCTGCCCTGTCTGCAGGGCACATGGGGGCCTCCCTGTGAGTTCCCAGGCAGAATGCCCAGGAGTCCCCCAACCTCGCCCCAGGGTACAGGTGTCACAGCTCTGGATGGCCTGGCTGAGGTCCCAAAGCTGGTGGCTGTACCCAGGATCCTTGCAGAGCAGCCTCTGCCACCGCCAGTGCATGTGGATGCTGGCCCCATGGTCCTGGCAGGGGCACAGGCCTCCCTCAGGGGCCTCCTACTTGCTAATATTTTGGGGGGCTGGCTTTGGCCACTCACAGCTGTCATGCAGCCCTGGGCACTGCCATAGGGGTGCAGTCCAGATGCCCCTCAAGGTGGGCCCAGGCACTCGGCCCTGAGCTCAGGTGGGGCGCGAGTCCCCTTCTGCGCTGTGGGCCACACCTCCTAGAACTTCCGCGGCCGGGCCTCCTGTCCCTGCAGCGCTGCAACTGTACCAGCAGAGTCCTGGGCCTTGGCTCCGCGCTGCTGGACCGGCTCCTGGGCGGCGGGCTGCCCCTGAACGGCATCACGGAGCTGGCAGGCCGCAGCTCAGCAGGGAAGACCCAGCTGGCACTGCAGCTCTGCCTGGCTGTGCAGTTCCCGCGGCAGCACGGGGGCCTGGAGGCTGGTGAGTGCAGTGCAGTGGGCAAGGGCCCTGGCCCCATCCACACTCACTCATCCCGCTGCTGGACCGGCTCCTGGGCGGCGGGCTGCCCCTGAACGGCATCACGGAGCTGGCAGGCCGCAGCTCAGCAGGGAAGACCCAGCTGGCACTGCAGCTCTGCCTGGCTGTGCAGTTCCCGCGGCAGCACGGGGGCCTGGAGGCTGGTGAGTGCAGTGCAGTGGGCAAGGGCCCTGGCCCCATCCACACTCACTCATCCCTCTTGTCTGTGCCTTCTTGTCCTGGTTTGTGCTGGGGACGGGGCTCAGCCCCTCTCGAGACAGGGTAGGGTCTAAGCTGCCCAGGCAGAAACCAAACTCCCAATCCTCCTGCCTCAGCCTCTGGAGTGGGGGGATTACAGTCGTGCGCCACTTCTTTCCTTTCCTTGCCACCCCACTGGAGTGAGGTGGGATCTCCTGGGGGTCCCCGGCATCTCCATCTTAAGTCCAGTTTAACTTCCTATGGTTGCTTGCTTTTGGAGTCTGAAGAACCATTGCCCTCTGGGACTGTGCAGGTTCCTGTGATTCTGGGTGCAGTGCTCCTGTGACCCATTTGGAGTCATCACACAGGAAGAGTGCATGTTCAGTCTTGGGAATATGAATACCCAGTGGTCCCCACACCACTTGGAGAAGCTACTCTTTCCCCACTGACTCATCCCAGCATCACTGATTGTTTTCTGAGACAGGGCCTGGTATAGTTCAGGCTGGCATTGAAATCAGTATGTAGCCCAGGCTGGACTCAAATTTGTGGCAGTCCTCCTGCCTCAGCCACCTGAGTGCTGGTTTACAGGCTGCGCTACCAGCTGGCTCCCCCAGCATCACCATAGGAACTCACTTGCCTGGGTGCATTGTGGCGGCCAGGCCCTGGCACAGGCTCTGACGCCAGTGCCTGTGGTGTGCTTCCTGGTTCTTCCAATGGCTGGGAAGCCACGAGCATGGCCACGTAGCCGGGGCTGTTGCAGAGCCTGGAGTGGGGCCAAGGACACCGCTGCTCGGGGACTTGGGAGACTCTCCTGGGTGCGAGGGGGCAGCCTTGGCAAAGCCCCTGACCGTGGTGATCCAGTGATCCCCGCACTCCGCTGTTGGCACAGGGCAGGACAGGAGGCCAGTGAGGGCCGTCTGCATCAGCTACTCTGGGCTCTGGCTTTGCAGGGGCTGTCTACATCTGCACAGAAGCTGCCTTCCCCAGCAAGCGGTTGTGCCAGCTCATTTCCCAGCAGTCTCGGCTGCGTGTGGATGTCCCCGGCGAGGTGGTCCAGAGCATCAGGTTTGGGGACCGGATCTTCATCGAGCACACTGCTGATGTTGTGAGTCTTTCAGGCAGCATGGGCACAGCACAGAGGATGGGAGGGCTTAGAGCCACTGTGGGATATGTAGTGGGGCCGTGGCTATCACTGAACACAGACCCCAGGACAAACGACCACAGCCCTGGCCACCTGCAGGCCTGTGGTAGGGTCCAGCAGGGCCATGCGGGGGCACCTGGATGGAGGGGTGGAGCACTGAGCAGGCGGGGCAGGAACAGTGACCACACCTCTGACACCAGTGCAGGCCAGGCCCGCGCTGCTAGAGAAAGACTCACGCAACTAAAGGATGAGGATATAAACTTTTACTTTGAGGAACTTTACAATAAAATACATTCTCACACACGCCTGAGCGGTGACATGGGAGCCCTGCACATGGCCCCAGGGACAGTGCACCGCCTGCTGTCCTTCTGGCCTGGCCACACGCCAAGGCCTGGAGTTGCAATGGTTGGTAGTGTGGCCTTGTTGGCGCAGGCTGGAGACCAAGCGCTCTGGGCCACCAAGGGCCCGTCCTCGCCCTGGGTCACAAGGCCAGCTCTGGGCCGCTCACAGTGGCGGCGGCAGCGTCTGGCATCCTACAGCAGGCCAGGCCCATTTCACTGCGAGAGAGGCCGCAGGTCAGCACCCAGCCTAGACAGACTCCCAGGGCTGCCCACCTACCCAGCTGCCCAGAGCGCAACACTCACGTTAGTGCTGGCGTCTTCTAGGCTGCTGCTGTCGTTCTCCACACACAGAGGCTCTGCTGGGGATGCCCTGGGGAGAAGCAGACAGCGTGTCACTCTGCACTGGGCCCTCAGTGCCACTGGCCCCTGGCCGTGTCCCCAGGCTGCCTGGTCTCCAGCCTCGCTGTGCCCACCCAGCCCCAGGCTAACAAGGCACAGCGGCCTGAATGTGTGCGAATGGCCAGGGCATGGCTGGTCTTCTCCAGGACAGCAGAGCTAGCGCAAAGGCCTACCTGATGGTTACATCTGGGTCAGCCATGAGATGGGCAGAGAGGGGCAGCAGACACATGGGCCTGGCTCCAAATGTGGGTGAGGCAGGGGTGAGCCAGGGTGCAGGGACCAAAGCTGATGAAGTTGGACCTTCATGCGGAGCAGACACAGGGCATCTATCCCAGTGTCAGGAGGTAGCCAACAGCACAGCACCGTGGGTCAGCATCTCGTGACCACCATGACACCAGCCTGCCTACCCCTGCAGGACGCTTTGCTGCAGTGTGTGAGCCAGAAGGTCCCCGTGCTGCTGTCCCAGGGCCTGGCGCGCCTGCTGGTTGTGGACTCGGTGGCTGCCCCGTTCCGCTGTGAGTTTGATGGCCAGGCCTCGGTGGCCCGCGCCAGGTGCTTACAGTCCCTGGGGGCCACACTGCGCTGGCTGAGCAGCACCTTCCAGATCCCCGTGCTCTGTGTCAACCAGGTGAGCCCAGAGGGGCAGGGCAGGGGCCAGGCCTGGGGAGGCAGCCTCTGCACCTTCCCAGGGTCACCACACTGACCCCACTCCTCCCACAGGTGACAGAGGCTGTGGAGCAGCTGGGGTGAGTGTGTGTGTGTGTGCGAGTGTACACACCACGCATGTGCAGCCTCGAGCCCTGGTGAAAAGCAGCATGCCCTTCTGTCCCAGGTCCCAGGATGAGCGCCTGTGCCCAGCCCTGGGCATCACCTGGGCCAACCAGCTCCTCATGAGGCTTATGGCCGACCGCGTCCGTGAGGAGGAGGCCATGCTGGGCCCATCCAGCTGCCCAACCCGGACTCTGCGGGTGGTCTTTGCACCCCACCTGCCCCCCTGCTCCTGCTCCTACATAGTCAGCGAGGAAGGGGTACGGGGGACACTGGAGACCTCAGCCTGCTAACATGGGGTGGCTGTACAAAGCCCACTTTGACCAAGCAAGAACAGGGTCACTAGGGTCTCCCGGAACAACAGCCCCACACACTCTAGGGAGAGGGCGGTGTGGTGGGGGTGCACTCTCCTGGGTCTCGCCCACAAGCTTGTCAGCCCTTTGAAGGACAGACAGTTCACAAGGGCTGGCGGCTTCTGGGTTTTCCACAGTGCCGCCCTGTCCTCTGCGGTCTCCACAACTGCCCGCCAGGACATGAGGAGCAGCCCTCCCAGCCTACCACACCTCCCAGAAAACTCCTAAGACCTGGCCCCAGGCAGCCCACCCAGTGGGGGTCCCCAAGCGTCCAGGCCACAGTGGGCTGTGGAGTCCGCTTAGTGCAGGGTGGAGCAGAGGCCAAGGCAGTTTGTGAGAGGGACCCCTGGGAACAAACCCCATCTGCATGCCCTGCCCGAGCCCGGCCCCTGCACCCAGCTGCCCTGGGGTTGGACCATGGTCATGGACACAAGGTACAGTGGTGCCTCCATATGATGGACACAAGTGGCAGCGCCCGGCCCTTTGCTCGGAGGCCTCTGTCTTCCAGGCACTGCCACAGACCTGTCATCTCCCCTCAGTGACACCTGTTCTCCCACGGCCCTGTGAAAGAGCCCTGAGACAGCACGGCCACCAGCACTCAGCCACCACAGAGCTAGGACCATTGTCTGGGGTTTTTATAAAACAGTCTTTCTGCATAAGTGGAGGGACTTTACAATAGGAAATAAATGTTTTATTCTGGTAACTAAATATGGACAATGCAGAATGATGTTCTAGGCCATTCATCACATCAAGGATTAGAAAACAAGCGACAGTGCCTGAAGGCAGGAGCGGCCCTACAGGGGTCCTCAGCCCCTCAGCTGGACCTCCCCAGGGCCCTGGTTGCCAGGGGATGGTTGCCCGGGCCTGGCACATCTTTAAAACCACAGCAGCCCAACAAGCCCAACCCTCACTGCACAGCATGCAGACGAGCAGGTCACACGCCTTCCGAGGATGGCCCCCCACCATCATGACAGCGGGGCCCAGTAACACATATACACCCTTAGCGCTTACAATGTGTCACTGCAAACAACTACCAAAGGCTGGACACGCCCAATGATAGAGCGGTTTGGTTCTACAGTGCTGGGGGTGGAGCTGTAACACTGAGCTGCGTCCCCAGCCCAGAATGTTTTAATCCTAGAAGCCCCCAACAGAAGACCAAGTGTCCCCAGGGCGCCACTGCACAGAGCCACCTCTGGCCTATCTGCTGCACTAAGGAAGTGATGTGGCTTATACAGGTCCCGTCACCAAGGGACAGCAGAGAACCTTCTGGAAACGTGGCCCCATCACTAGCCAGCACAGGGCCAGAGCAGCACCTCTGCCCTTGCTCCCAGCAAGCTGGGGACTTAAAAGCCATTTCTCCTATGGGCCCCATTTACTCTCACGGTGCTCTTTGTTCCTGCAGGGGACTCTTGAGTTTCAGTGCAGCACCAGCCTGCTAGGGAGGACCTGGCCTGAAGAGTGGGGAACAGCACCCTCACCCAGCTAAGCACACAACAGTGGCACTGGGACCTCCCCAGAGGCTGCGACGTCCATGCAGTCTTCCGTGGGGGGTGGCTCCTCACCCCCAGCTTCATGCTTCTAGTGGAGGCCATCCAGAGCTGGAACAGTCTCATGGGCAAGTGACCCAGACACCCAGCCTGCAGTCAGTGACAGGAGGTGCCACCAAGTCACCTGAAATGTTAGAGCCCCCCAGAGTGCAGCCTCTCTGTGCCAGAACCCCAAATGTGCCAAAACCAGCCTTGGGCCCACATCCAAGCAGCTGGGCTGGTGCCACAGGCCCCACGCAGGGGTACACACTCTGCGGCAGCTGGGAGCCAAGACAAGTAAGTAACTGCTGTGACACTGCCTCTATTGCTGAAGTAAAACCAGCCTGACGTTTTACAAGGATGTCAGGTGTCAGATTAACCTAAGGCTGAGACAGCCCCTGGAAACCCAGATGGCCTCTTGGCAGTCTGTGGATGGGCGTGGTGCACACTTCACATGGCTGCGTTCTCCCAGCCTACAAGATGGCTGGCTGCACTGCGGGAGTCCACAGGAGAACCCATCAAAAACCACCCTGTAAAAAGGCATTCTAAAACTAAAAGACAGATGTCCAGGTTCTCAGTGTGCAGGGACCCGCAACGACGGTCACCATTACCACAGTGGCCTTGCCCAAGCACTTGAAATGGGAGCGCCCAGTCCTTTCCCTTTGCTCCTGCACAAGTCTCCACAGGAAGCATCTCCACCCCCTGCCTCCTCTCCGCTTCCACTGTCACAAGCCCATCATCCCAGCTGCCATGCTTGTTTCCTAGTTCACAGACACTAAACTTGAGTGGATGCTGGTGGCAGGACAGCAGGTGGCGACAGGCTCGAGTGGCCATGCATAGCAGCAGAAACTATCCGCCTCAGGCCGCTGCCCATTACAGGACCCAGGCATGTGGCCTGCAGAGCTGTGCACCATCCAGCGGGGCCTGGTGCTCTGTGGCTCTATCCAGCTCTGTCCAGACCCTCAGTGGGCCAGGTCAGTGTGGGTAGCACACAGTTCTTGACGGTACCACACAATGATTTCGCTCCTGTGCAAAAAAACCAATGGAAATTACCTCACCACACTTCCAAGGGTGCCAGCTCATTCAATCTCAGGCCTCACAACGCCAGCTGCCCCAATTCTGCAGCTCAGGGCCTACATATGCACAGGTGGACAGCCAGAGATGGAAGGCCAGGGCTGCATCCCCACAAGACTTTGTAAAACAAAACGCCAGCCCTGGGCTGGCAGGGCCACTCCAAGGGGACCAGGAACTTGCTGAGCATCAGGCCCTGGGTTCAGTCTCCAGCACCAAAAATCCAACCTTCACTCAGAGCCAGGAATGCTCAAAGCAAACCAGTTGGCAACCTGCAGCCTCTAGCTTCTGCCTAAGGCCTAAAAGCAAGAAGCACAGCCTGTCCTGAGGGCCATATTCCATCAGCTGGGTCTGGGACACCAAAAGGCCTATCACAGCCTAAGCAGCAGGGCCAGGTTCTCGAGCCCCGGGGGGCCGGCCACACCCCATGGCCACACTTGAGGTGAGGAGAAACACACCCAAGGAGGCTGTCTGAGGAGGAGAGGCCAGAGTGACTGGAGTAAACTCCGGGACAGTGATGACAGTCACGTTAGTCATGGTGCAGGTCCTGAATACCTTTACAACACGCTTTCCTCAAAGCTCGACACAGATTAATTATAAACTTACTGCAGACTAGTTAAGAACTGGCCAAGCGCTGAGATTATCAGTCAGTTACCGAGGTCAAACCAGTGCCTTGGTGGTGTGTGAGCTCCCCACCTGGAGGGGTCCAAGGAAGTCAGAGGGCTGGTTCGCCCTGTGCTGCACCCACACAGGTGTACAAGGCCAAACAAGCGGTAGGTACTTCAGCCAGCCAGCAACAAGAGAGATGCTGGGGCCCTCGGACAGCTCCTCCTGCCTCAGCCCACCACCTCCTGCTGACAGGAGCAGAGACCCCTGAGGGGCACAGGGTAGGGGCGGCAGCCCTGGGCCAACACAGGCTGTGGGTGGCAGCAGGTCTCAGGGCGCAGGTCCCCAGGAACACTGAGAGCAGTGACAGACTTTGAAAAAGCAGAATACTAAAACTGGAAAGGACAACACTGATCTCAAACAAGTCCTCCAAAGGAGCGCCAGCCCTGAGCTGATCAGAACTCTGGCTGCAGGGGGTACCTTGGCCCTGAGCAGCACAGTGGAGCAGGACAGTGCAGGGTGATGATGGCACTGTCAGGAGGCTCCAAGACCAAGCAAGGCACTGCCTTTTACAAAACACCTCACCTCCCTGAAAATCTAAAGCAATGACTCCTTCTGATAAAGCCATATGATTCTAGCCTCTGTTGAACACCACTTTTCTCCCCATAGCAATAATTACATGGGATTTGATAGTCATAGCCGACATCTGTATCTTTGAAAGATTAAAATTTCAAAGATTTAAGCTAATGCTAATTTATAAATAATGCCTATCTAAAATAAATACGGTCCAATGCTTGGTTTTGTAATATTAAATCCCCACTTTTCACTACAAAGGCTTTCTTTGAACATGTTTTTAAAAACCCAAGAACCGGGGCAGGGATTTAGCTCAGTGGTGCCACTGCCTGCCTCACAAGCCCAAGTCCTGAGTTCGATCCCCAGAACCAAAACAACAACGACAAAAATCAAAGAATCCTATGACTTTTTGAAGGCATCAGCCTTTTATTCACTGACAGGAAGTTTGTGGTTCCTGCCCATCCTGTCCTGGAGGCAGCACACAGAACCTGCTGAGCATGCCCACTCCAGGGCTGGGCCTCTGGTGGGGAGATAGTTACCCGGGATTCCTTGGCTCACTCTCTCGTGAACTTCCTCCCTTCAGCTTCCTAACCAGCTTCTCACTGCTGCGTCTAATGGAAGCCCGGAGTTTGCTAAAGGAACCACTGCGCTTTAAAGATCCAGTGCCGTCCTGAAAGAAATGTAAACAAGCGTGAAGCTGCAGGAGGCCCACCCTTACCCGGCACAGAAGCCCAGCCCAGAGCTCCCATCCTGGCACCAACAGAAACCTACAGCTTCTGACTTCACTAGAGGTCACCCACAGTCACGGAGACCCGGACACGAAGCACTCGACGGAGGTATTGCGGCCGCAGAGGTGGCTAATGACACTGCTGATGTGGGATGAAAGCTCAGAGTCCCAGAGAACAGCCCCACTCATGCAAGAGCATGTCAAAGTGGAGGCCCCAGGAGGCCCCCACGCTGTGCGCACCCCACCGGGCTACTACAGCGGGCAACCCACAGAGCTCTCTTCCTCCCACCAAGGGGGGGACAGTTTCTTAAGTGTCCATGGTAAGTGTGGCTGAAAAATTAAAATGCTCGTTTTATATAAAAAACTCAAAACCCACAGACACCTTGTGGGGAGCCCAGGTGAAAGGAGTGGCCAGCCTCAGAAGGAACACCTGGCGGAATCTGACCGCCTACTGGAATGAGAAGTGCATGCCCTGTGGCCAGTGACACAGCAGTGACACCTGTAGGCGCTACGCAGCGTTTCTGGGGACAGCAGGGCATGGAGCAGACAGACGCAGACACAAGTCAGTTGGAGTGAGTTTATTAGAAGTTAGAAAGACACAGATACACACATCACTGAGCACTTAAAAGATTAGTAGAGAAAAGCAGAATTGCCAAAACTTCACACCAAGACTACACAGCAGATCTACTTCACATGTCCTGGGGAGGCCCGGGGCAGGGTGCCGCCCGGTCTCCAAGTACCACAGGGACGTGCAGCACATGCCTGACGCCTACAGCTCAGCGACTGTCCACAGGTCACCGTCATGCCACTGTAGGGACGCCTGCGTGACACTGTAACTACCTGTTATCGGAGGGAACAGCTAATCACTCTTAATTTAAACTCGTAGTACACAGAAGTGGAGTTTATTAATACAGTGGGAATTACTAAGTACATATCTGGCAAAGCTACATGTATACAGAACCCAGAAACCCCCAAGAGGACAGCAGCACCGAAAGGAACAGCCAGTCACAGAGGTGCAGCTCTGCCAAGCTCCTAGGGGCCGAGACACAGCGGGCAGCGCTGGACAGAGAGGGACCGGAGAGGCCGCCCGTCGTGCAGGAACAGTGAGGCACGCGGGCGGCTAGGCCTGTCGACAGAAAGGAAAGACAGTGTGAGCCAGAGGAAGGCAGGGCCCGCTCGGGCGGCTTCCATCACAGTATTTCTAGGTCACAGTCTCAGCAACATCGTGTGCTCAGTGCTGGGCCCAGGGTGTCCGAGAACGCACCAGAGTTGCTCCAACAGTCACCAAAGTGCAAGCCAGTGCTTCAGAGACAGACTGGCACTGGCTAACAGATCCTGAAGTTTACTGTCAAAGGTTTCACAAGCAACTGTATGTAAAACTGATTTGGCAACAAAAACCATCTGTGGGTGCCACAGCAGGGCTGCACATCAAGTCCACTCTTAGGCTTGTCCTGGCTAATCCTGAACTTGAGATTCTCCCTGCAATCAGGTCTGACTTTCATCTCTTAAAAACACTAACATCTTAGATCTCAAGAATTTTGAGAGCCACTGACTTTACAAGTCAATAGATAGCACATAGCATGCAGCTGATGGCTTCCCCAGGCAGCCAGGCTCCCCAGGCCCTGCCTGAGTGGCAGCCTGGTCCCCACAGGAGCACGGCCAGCAGGGCCTGCCCGCCCACTACAACTCACCATGGGACGCTGACCAAGTCACTTAACCAGCCCGAGCTTCATCTTTCTCATCTTTAAATGGAAAAATAAAACTTGTTACCAATGCCTCTAGAATGATGGGAGGACAAGAAAACATAAGATCCCAATGTGTTTAGAAAAGGGCGCTGAGGGCTGCATCTCCTGCAGTGCTGCTCTGTGGTCCCTGCATCTCCGGGTCCCGGGGACAGGGCATGCAGCCCTCACTGGACCCCTGGGCCCAGGGCAGACTCACTCTCTCCCCAGTGCACAGCATGCACACACACTTGCCATGGGCACAGACGCGGGCATCAAGGAGCCCAGGGCCGCCCCCTGCTGCCCACTGGGGGTGACTCTGTCCCTCGGTGTCCACCTAGCCCTGTGCTTGCCCCGGGGACCTGTGCCCCAGCACCTGCCTGTCGAGGCAGAGGGCTGGGCGCACTGACACCCCAACAGACACGCCACACAGCACACTTCTCAGCAGAGCCCAGCCGTGAAGTGCAGGGACTGCCCTGGTGTTGTTACCTTTGTACAGTGCCCTCACGGGTTCAATGCTTTTTTAATGTATTTTTCTTTTTTGGTATATCCTAGCTATCCTCCTAGTATAACTTTTCAAAAATAAAAATCTATTTCTAAGTAACAATTTTTTCATTCTCCATTAACCCTAGGTGAGAAGTTACTGTGTCAGAAACTCACAATCAACTCAGTACGGGAGCGGTGTGAGGGGAGGTGGCTTGGGCGGCATCTGCAGGACCCCAGACACAAGCAGCACCTGCAGTTGGGGCTCACATAGTGTTTGCTCCACAGCCATCACCATGAAGACACCCAACAATGGTGCAGAAGGGACCCAGTGCTGGAGCCCAACACACACGCCCTGCACCGTGGATACAGAGCCAAGAGGACAGAGCTGAGGGCCTGGTCTTATGCAGAGAAGGGCTCCTCAGCACAGCAACTGCGTCCCGTGAAAGCTGCGTAACCACTCTGCATCTCGCACCTCACATGGGGTCACAGAGAGTCATATTTCCAGCTGGCAAAGGACCCTGTGTCGAGGCGGACACATGGTGACCTTGCCCCCTACCCCATGATCTGGGGACACAGATCCGGTGCTGGCAGGAGCAGCTACTCGTGCCTCGTGTGCCTGGCTGTGACTACACTGTGCTTTGGTTTATGCGACTTCTGAATACTGAAAATTCAGCCTCTCATCCTGCATAACTTAAAGCCACTGCACTCATCCCTGCTAAAGCTGTGGCCACCCAGGGAATAACAGGTGAGCTTCCTGATGTAGCAGTTTTCAGTGTTTTAAAGAGCAGTGAAATCTTTTTCAAAAAATAAGTAATCCCAGCTGATGGGGAGCCTGAGACAGAATGTCTCAAGTTTAACGTTAGCCTAGACAACTTAGGGAGACCCAGTCTCAAAATTAAAAATAAGAAAGAGGTCCGACTGTAGCTCAACTGTAGAGAGCACTTGCCTAGCAAGTGTGAGCCCCAGACTCAATCTCCATTACAGGAAAAAAATTCAGAATCTTACACAAAATCCCAATATAAGATGAAATTTAAGTGGCATTTTCTCACTGTAAATGTATACCATATTCTTATTACTAACATAAATTAAGTCAATAAGAGCAACAAAGTTACCTTTTAAACCCACAACCTGAAATCTAAAGTTGGAGTGAAGGGCACGGTCTTGATATCTACCTCAAGGGCCAGTATATTTCTCTATTTTCCCTCAACTATGTATTACCAAACAAAACCTTGATAAATGTATAAGTAGTTGCCAGGGGTAACCATTTCTAAACTGCTATACATCTCTGAGAAGTTTTCCCTTAAACAAGCAGCAGGAGAAACTGTTCTGGCCTTGGTATGGAGACAAACCAACATGATGCACTGCAGTATGCAGCTCTAGACCAAACCTGACTCTTCAAATGGCCTCCATTTACTGTGCATAATGGCACCAGTGCAGTAGACTGAAAAGAAACTGGCGAGGTATTCTGGCGAGGGCTGAGACCCCAGCACGCTGCACCACTGAGACAGGAGGATCACAGGTGCGAGCGAAGCCTGGGAAATTTATCAGCTCAGCAAGACCCTGTCTCCAAATAAAAAATAAATAAAGGGCTGGCAAAATACCTTGGTGTGAAAGCCCTGGATTCAATCCCCAATAATGCAAAAAGGAAAAAAAGAATATCCCAAGTGTGTACACTCAATCACTACATTATTAAAATAACAAAAATATGCTTTGAAAACAAAAATTAAAATCCAAAGACAGGGAGCACGGTGCTGCCTCTGGCAACAGAGCCGAGGAGGGCAGCCTGAGCGCCAAGGCCACCCTGACTCCGAATCTCAGCCTGGCACCTGCCAGGGAGCTGTGCAGCTACGGGGCCAGGAAAAGTGCACGTCACAGCACAGTATGTGCTGTGGGACATGTCCACTGTGCGGAAACAGAGGAAATGGGCACACACTCAGGGGAATGTGGCTGTCGCCAGACCTGAGGGGAAGACGCCAGGCAGGCCCTTGGGAGTCCTTAAGAAAGGGAGCCACTCTGGGCTGGCGATGATCCCATCACAGGATTCGCATGAGTGTGAACCTAGAAATACTGTCTCAGAGAAAGTCCCTCCACAGCCTCATCCAGGAGTCGCTGGGTACAGCTTTGGCAGACGAAGCAGCAGGCCACCCAGACAAAGCATGCAGGGGCCGGAGAAGACAAGAAGAGGACAGGACACAGCTCACACAGGACTGGCACAGGCAGGGGTCTCCCAGCCGTGCTGAAATTTGCAGCCACTGCCTGCCAGCTGGTGCCATCAAAGCAGATGCTGATTGGTTGTCTTGGCACAGAAAGAACCAAAGCAAGAAAACCGACAGGTAAAAATGGTCCAGAGGATATTCCCTCTGAAATTTTGGTTTCTAACATTTTTTACAAAATGTTTGGTCATGACACTAGCTCCTACCAAACTGCTACAGCTCTAAAAAATTCCAGAATAAAGAGATTGAAAACATAAGACTGTTAGAAAGTCCCACACTGTGACCTACCCGAACCGCACAATTACAGCTCATCACACTGCATGGAAATGACCTCCATGCCTATGTGGGCTAAACCCTGCATCCAACTTTTCCTGCTGAAGCAAACTTCCAGAGACACCAGCTCAGTGTGCACAGAGCCATGTGTCTGTCACACAGCCCAAGGGGACAACAGGCCACAGCTGGGTCCACGGCACTAGGGCACAGCCCTGAGAGCTGGGACAGCCAGGCGGGCTGTCCAACCTCTTGGGCTCTGCCTGTGTGAATAACAGTAAGGAAGCCCAGAGGGGACCTGTGATGCTCAGGACTGAGCAGAACAGCGGACAGCAGCCACCCTGCACTGCGTTTCTGAGCTGTTCTTTTCTAAAACAAGTTCCAATTAAACAGCTTCTCCCTTGAAGGCAATTTAACCAACAAATCTAGAGCAAATGAGTGAGGTTAGGGGCCTGAGTTAGCAGTGAGACAGTGAGTTAGTTGTCTGCCAGGCTGAGCCCCGAGTGGTGAGGCTCTGAGCAGCCAGGACACTCAATCAGCATGCTCCGTGAGGCCCCGAGGGCAGAGTTACCCTCCGGGAGGAAGAGATTCAGAGTCAGCCAGGGTTAAGACTTACAGAAGCCCTGGCGCTGCACTGGAGGAAAGCGGGGCGAGCAGGACAGGAAGCGCCTGCCACGTGCTGTGCGTACTTACCCCGTTCCACTCTACGCTCATACTCACTTCCTCCCCTCCATCCGCGCCACTCTCATACTTGACCGCGTCTGAGCTGAGGCTCTCCCGGCTCCGTCGCTTCTCCGTGCTCTCGGGGTCGTTGAGCACTTCAGCCACTCGCTGTTTGTGAACAGTGTCAAGACCCTAGGAGCCATGAGGAGGACCTTAGTGCTTCACTCAGTGGAGCCCACCCAGATACCCCACACTTCCTGTAACATTCGCAAGAAGGGAAAATCGAACAGCGGCTGAGCCAGGCTGAGGTCACACGGTGCACACACTGCTGAGCTCAGGCAGGCACACGTGGCCGCACGCTGCACTCTATGTAGAGCTTTACCTCAGATTACAAAGCTATACCAAATACTGAGCTCTAGTTAATGCTTTGTAAACTGAAATATTTAGATGGAAGTGCACTGTCTAGAAATTATCTGGAATGCGTCCCAAAGATCAATGGATAGATGGTCAACTGGACAAATGGACACAGGATAGATGTGATAAAGTATCTAAATTGGAGATTTTTTTTTTTTTTT